GGTCTCCGTCCAGTGAGAATGAAGACAGTTCAATTAAGTGGGTTAGAAAACCAGGTAAGGTGGGTAGAGGGAATGGTGAGCCAATTTGTTCAAGATCCTGGCTTGTAGACGCAGCCCTGTCACTTTACCAGTGCCCTGCCTTTGGGTGGATGTCTGACCTCTCTGGGCCCCAGTTCCCTCCTCCATGAAGCTCCTCAAATCAGATGCCAAAGCGTGCGTGAGAAGTGCCGAGGTCCCTGGTCTATAAATAACCGGGCATCGTTTCCCTGCTTCTAAGAATCAGGTCACTTGCCAAATCAGAAGAACTAGGGTCCTGCGCCAGCGTGGATGTCTGCTCCGACTGGCTCTGCTGCCTCCCTGCCCACTCCCACCCACCCAGCCACCACCAGCCATCTCCAGAACCTTCCAGGTTTCCCACCACATCACCCAACACCCTTCCCCTTCCCCCCATGTCCCCCCCCGCCCCCCCCCCCCCGTCTCCTGGAGCCAAATTTGTTCCCCAGATATGTCCGGGATTTACCCATCTTATTCAAGCCGTGTCCTCCGTGTAGGTTTCCCTCAGCCTCCACACACAGGGCAGCACGTCCTTCAGGACCCATCATGAAAATGATTCCCTCACAGACCTTTACTGAACACGGCATCCGCTGCAGGAATGAATTGCCGCTGCAGAGATGAGAGGCGTTAGGGTGATGGAGGAACAGGAAACGCACAGGGAGGGCATGTCCCTTCTTCCTCCACCCCTCCCCAGTCTCTCTGTGGCGCCCCCTCTTGTCCAAGCCTCCTATGGACCAGGTGGTACAGCCCAGCCCTAGCCCCTTTGCAGGAAACACTGGAAGGGTGGCTTTGGGCTGAGTGACAATAGCTTCCTAATGGCACAGCCTGCTCAAAGCCTGCCCACAACCAAAGCACCATTGTCTGAGAGTGCCCTTCCTGAACTCATAGGAGTTTGGAGCAGAATTGTTTCGGTATCCAACCACGATTTGCAGAAACTGAGCAGGTTACCATTGCCATGGAGATAAGCAGTTAAAGAAAACCATCATGCATTTCCAGCGCACCATCCAAATGCCGCACCTCCCACCCCAGTTTTAAGAGAAATTGGGCAGAGATGTATTGCAAGCTCTGTAAGGTCAAGGACCCTTGCTAATTATACCTGTGCCCTCTTTATGTCCCCAATGCCTGGCAAATAGACACTGAGATGCTTTTTGGGAAAAAACACACACATAAATATACATAGATATTTGCAGAATCAGTGTCTGGGTAAAACTCATTAACAAGTGTTTGGGAGAGTCCTGGCCCATGTGGCTCAGTTGGTTGCGGCATCATCCTCTCCTGGTGCCACCAGGAGATTGCTGGTTCAGTTCCTGTCAGGGAAGATGCACATGTGGGCTTGATCCCCAGTAGGAGGGTGCAGGAGGCAGCCATGCATTCTCACATCAATGTGTGTCTCTCCCTCTCCCTTCTCTCTCTACAAAAACTCAATAAACTATTCTTTAAAAAAAAAAGAAGAAGAAGAAAAGAAAAGATCTTCTCCCTGTGAAGGAGAAGATCTTGTTTTGTTCTTTCACATTTGTTATAATTTAAATTTCTTTTTAGTTTGGCCATGTCTCCATAGAACCAGACGCGGCTGAGGTTAAAAGGGAAACAGCTAAGAGGGAGTAAAACAGCAGCAGACATCCTCTGCCACACCACATGGCGGTGACCAAGGGTGCCCGGGGGGCGCAGATGTTTGCGCGGGTTGTGGGCCACTGTCCCTGTCAGTCCAGCTGCGGCTGGAGGGAGGGCCGGGGAGTCATTAGCACCCACTAAAGACCGATTTTCTCCTCTGCTTCGTGTGACAGGTCTTCTGTGTGAGTCTAAGCGACTTCTCCTTAAGTGAAAATATTTGTCTTTCAGGGATTTTTTTTTTTCCTCCACTGAGTGGCAAAGGCCATGTTTGTTTGTCTTAACTCTGAAACCATTATTGACTTAGATGAAGTGTTACTTTTATTAGCTGATCATTACACAGCTTGTATTTGCTGGGTTCCCTTGCATATAATTATGATGTGAAATCTCCTTGTAAGAGTATCTGTCAATAGTGTAATTGACTTTACAGTGTTGACTTTTTACTCAATAACCTCAGAGATTGGCCCATCCATACACGTTGGAATCCTACTTATTTTTAAATCTGCCTGAGCGGAGAGTCCTCAAGACACATGATCCTCAAAATAACCACTCACACGTCTTAAAGTTTTATGCCTGTGTCTTCTGGTGCTTTCCCAGTGGGGTTTCTTACAGAGAATACATTGAAGGCAAGAAACAGCTACCGCCCTAGAAGCACTGTTTCTGGCCCCCTTGAGAGACGGGAACCCCAGATTTCTTCCATTAATAGCATTATGGGCTGCCTCCCAGGTAGGGGCCCTGGATCTGGGCCACCTTGCTTTCAACTATTAGGGTTCTTTTTGGCCCCAAGTAACCACTCAGGTGGCAGAGAGGACTTGAATGTCCAGGGCTTGCCAGAGGAATCGGAGACAACAGACGGGAGTGGGGTTCTTCATAGGACAACAAAGCCCAGAGCTTGCACACGCGGGCTTGGGAAACCACTTTCCTGGGTTCGTATCCTGTAGCTTTGTGACCTGGGGCCAGTGTACCTGGAAGAATCAGCACCTGCCTCAGGATTAACACTGATGTGCCTGGCACAGAGTATGCATTATGCAGGTGCTTGATAAATAAGGTGGAGAACAACCCAATTCAGAAATGGGCAAAGAACTTGAATAGACATTTCTCCAAAGAAGATACACAAAGGGCCAGTAAGTATGCACATGAAAAGATGCTCAACATCTCTGTTCACTAGGGAAATGCAAATCAAAACACCAGTGAGATACCATTTCACACCCATTAAAGTGGTTGCTATCAAAACAAACAGAAGCCTAATCGGTTTGGTTCAGTGGATAGAGCGTCGGCCTGCGGACTCAAGGGTCCCAGGTTCGATTCTGGTCAAGGGCATGTACCTTGGTTGCGGGCACATCCCCAGTGGGGAGTGTGCAGGAGGCAGCTGATTGATGTTTCTCTCTCATCGATGTTTCTAACTCTCTATCTCTCTCCCTTCCTCTCTGTAAAAAAAAAAAAAAAATCAATAAAATTTAAAACAAAAAAAAATAACAGAAAATAACAAGTGTTGCCAGGGATGTGGAAAATGGGAATCCTTATGCACTATTGGTGGGAATGTAAATGGTGCAGCCACTGTGGAAAATGGTGTGGAAGTTCCTTAAAATAGAATGACTACATGATACAGCAATTCCACTTCTGGGTACATACCCAAAAGAATTGAAAGCAGGGTCTTAAGGAGATACTTGTAATTCCATGTTCATAGCAGCATTATTCACAATAGCTAAAGTGTACATGCGACCCACACGTCCATCAACAGATGAATAAGTAAAATGTGGTATACACATAGAATATTATTCAGCCTTTTAGGAAGGAAATTGTAACACATGCTACAGCATGGATGTACGTTGAGGATATTATAGTGAGTGAAGCCAGTCACAACAAGGCAAATAGTGAGTAGTCAAAATTATAGAAAGTAGAATGGTGGTTGCGCCAGGGACTGGGAGGAGAGAGAAATAGGGAGTTATTGTTTTAATGGGTATAGAGTTAGAAACTTACAAGATGGAAAGTTCTAGAGATGGATGGTGGTGATGGTAACATAGTATTATGAATGTATTAAAGTTTGGGGTGGGGGGTTAAAATTAATGTGGAGAGGTTCATGGATTTATCTAGCCTGCCCTCCATAGTCCCTCCCAGGTCACTTTCCTGAGTACCCCAAACTCCTGGAGAAGGCTCAGAGTAAGCCTGTGCTACCTTCAGAACTCCACATTTAGGGTGAAACCATTGGTTTTGAGGAATGATGGCAGTAGTCAGGACTACAAGTCTAAACCATAACATGTTATAAAATTAGAAGGAAGTTCCGTGTAATCACCATCTAAGGTGCTTAATTTTATTTGAGTCCCTTAGGACCTCAGGTGAAACTTCAATTTCCATGGAACATGAAGCAAGTCAGGAATTAATGGTCCTATTATAATACAAAATACTAATATTTAAGGTCCTGTCCAAACAGTCATCAGGAAAACCCGTCTGTCAGCCTAAGATCTGCTCCCAGGCAACTGTCTTGGTTTTTCCCCTTGAGAAGATGTTTGTCACAGGTTTAGAAAGCCTGCCACCTTCGGTATAAGATTGGCTGTGGTCTGACTACACAGCTTGCAGACTGGTCCTTTTTTTGTGCTGTGTTGTATTTTTACAGATCAAGCATCTGTCAGCTTTTGTCTTCTGAAATCATGGTCTTTGAAGCCAAGTCTGAACCTCAGTATTAGATTATGCTGAGTCTGTGCTGGGAGGGAGAGGAGGAAATACTAAAGGGATCGAGATTAAAGGCAACGGGAAAAGAAATACCAGGAGGACAGAGCAGAGGAGTTCTCACTGAACCCCCTGTCTCTGCTTCTTGTTTCTGCTTTCGGTTCCTCTGGGCCAGATATCTAAACATGTGAAATTTGATCATTCTAGAGTTGCCTTTCTTATTTTAAATCAATGGCATTGGTTAAAGCGTCCTGCTGGCTTTTTCTGTTGTATCTGAAAATGCTCAGAGCCCCTGGTGATTCTGGGCGGTGCCACGTGCAAAACAATGGATGGAGGAGAGTTTTAGAATAATTTTTCTTTGTGTTCTGTGATCTAATGCAGAGAGGGAGTCACAATTATCTCAGTGGTTTAGGGGGACAATATGCAG